CTCTGAATTTACATCAGAAGGCTAAAAGGAATGCGGAAGAACGAATTGCTGATAGAAATTTGCGCCGTCGTACTAGATATGCGCAAATGTCACCCGAAAGAAAATAATTATTTTTGTCCCAACTACGAGATAAAAGAGCTAAATCGAAAAAACAAACACTCCTTCAACAGTCAAGTAATATAATAGTCTCATATCTCGAAGTTGATAGCCAACCTCGAAAGCAAAGTGCTCTTACAATTACGAATCCTTCATTACACCTTCAAGAAGGTTAGTAAACCGTATTTTTATCTTCCTTTTATGAAATATTTCTGTATAAATTATAATATTTGTTTGTACGAATAATGTATTGTGCAAATTCTCTAATTGTAGTGTGATCACGCCCAACTATGCCTTATAAAAAGGACTAAGCGGTTGCTGCAAATATAATCCGGTTTACAAGTCCGGAGTCGAATCCCACAGAGAACTAAGGTTTAGCTACAGCTGTTCACTATCACCAAGAAGACAAACTTGAACAATTCCTAACTTATAGATATTAAGATTCTTCTGTTTAACTAATTAACTAACAAATTAAAATAGTAAATTAACAACTAACGATACTGAGGGTTAGAGAAAAGATTAAGGAGGTCTAGAGTTATAATTTCCCCAATTGTCGGAATCCTTCCCGCTATATATGTCTTCTATAATTTCGCCTAAGTATTCTCTACCGATCATGAGCACTCTTATTATCGTAAATCTCTCCCGAGTAATTACGACAATTTACTAGACGCGCTCTCCCGAGCTACGCTAGCTGGCTTTTAATACAGCTCACTTCAGATCGCACCCAAGACTTCGTTATCCCTAATCCCGCCTTTAAACCCTCGGTTATTGATCCCTCATATACTTTGGGAGTGGTGTTGTTTAACAATTACCTAAATATGCACTCTCTCCCGAGTTATGCATACTAAATAGGCACAGCTAATTGAGAGCTCTTCAACCAACCACAATATAAACGTAGTTGAACAAATAGAGAAAAGCTATGGCTCAATTATATAAAAACATAACAAGAATTTATCCTACAAAAGGTTTTATCAAACTCTAGATAACAAATTAGCTATTCATAATAGTATGTAAAACTACAATACTAAAAGTCATAACCAACAATGAAAAATAGGAAGAGGAAGGAAAAAATTCGTAGAAGAATTCTCCGCCTTGCTCCCAATGTGTTCTTGCCTCCAAGGGTGTTGTCTAACCCTAAAGTAGTGTCTCCTGCCTCCTTAGGTCTAATTTGTGTCTAAAATATGTCCCCTCCCTCTCTTGGCTGGCTTCCTTGGTTTAATATTGGGTTTTTGGGCTTAAAATCCCGTATTTTGCACATAAGTCCCTGAAATTTCCGCCTCCTGCCGCGGTTTTGCCGCGGTCGCGGTGGAACCGCGGCCAAACATGCCCTCTGATTCTTCAGTTGTCCGCGACCATCTTCTACCTCGGTTCTGCCGCGGTCGCGGTGGAACCGCGATTTTTCACCCTGTTCCGTTTGGAATTTGGAAAAACGTAAAACATGAAAGTTGTAGCCCTTTGAGTTAGCTTTCCAACCGTATATTGTGGAGCCCAAATGGAGTTCTGAGAAAAAAGTTATGTCTATTTTATTAGACAGTGCGCAATATGCCTCCTCAAGTCTTCGTTCGTACTTAATTATCAAATTTGACCCCCGAACACGATCCCGGCTTAATTCCTTGAGCTTTTACTCAGACTTCAAAGCTTCAAATCACTTAAATTCATTCCATAACATCTATATAGCTCGGAATCACACCTACAAGGCATAAAACACACAATTAATGCAAAACACTAGCGATTAAAGCGCAAACTCAATTAAAGTGCAGTAAATTCGAGTGTAATAAGCGACTAAAATATGCAATTATAGCCTATCATCAGGGAGGTGAGAATTGTTGGTAGTTACACTGTGTAATTGCAAGGTTGCTTTTTAGTTTCTTTCCTCTTTTTTTTGTTTTTATTTTAATTTATTTTTTTTAACTTTTTATTTCTATTATTTTAATTTTTTAATTTTTTAATTTTATTTTTACTTTTTAGTTTCTTTTGAAATTTTAAAATATATATTTTTGTACATTATTTATCTTTTATTTCTCTATATTTACTTCTGTGATTCCATGTGATTGCTTATATTTTATTTTATATTTATTTTATTATTCTATTTTTTTAAACTACACCTCTTAATATTAGAAATAATGAGTCTTTAACAAACTTGACATATAATGAGTGATGCAATTAAAGTGGAATTTTGTTGTTGAATGTGGTTATAAACTTATCATGTTTCCTAATTATTAAGTTGGACGGGAACTTACTATTATTATGTTGGAATTTGACATATGTTAAACTATTTTATTTTTATTTTTTTGAATTTTGAAATTGTGTTATATTCATGGTTTCAATTTACTTGTTTTAGTAGTCAATGCTCACACTGCATGTTGTTCATTTTTTAGTTAGAATTGATAGATTAGTTTTGCCAAACATTTGAATAATGTTATGACATTATATTTGTAAATATTAATTTATTTTATCAAACATGAATTCCATGATGTTCTTACCAAACGTATATTTTATTTTTATAAGTATCTAAACTACATAGTATTAATTTAAAAAAAATATATAAATTATTTTTACAATATTAGTTATAAATATATGATTACTAAATTAATGTATATTCACGAAAAAATATACATCTTAAATACAAAATATAATATCATTTATACTTATAAAAATTTATAGGCATATATTTATTATATTAACTTTTAAGTTTTGATAATTACTTAATTTGAAATTTAATTTAACTGTGCAATTACACTTGTGCAACCAAACAGTAAACTTGTAATTACACTGTAATTACACTATGACAAACAAACATGCCGCCGTAATTATACAACTGTGTAATTACTAGGGTGTGTAATTACTACCCTAGTAATTACACCAATTCCAATTACAGGGTGGCTTTCCAAACAGACTCTTAAGTTAATGAAATTTAACATGTCTTCACCTACCAGTTTTCTACCATAACTTGAAAGGACACTTTCAGAATGGAAGGTAAAAGGAAGACATGTAGGGTGTGTGTTTTCCTTGGAAATTGTTATCTTGGAAAATAAGAGATTTTCTTACTTAATTTTCCGGTTTTTGGTTAGGTAGAGGTGATTAGGCAGGACATAGCGCTGCTCCACCTTACTGAGGACATGACCCTTGATAGGAGGGTGTGGAGGTCGAGGATTAGGCTAGAAGGTTAGTAAGTAGTTGATAGTTTCTCCTTTTTTTAACTGTAGTATTAGTAACATTCATGTCTCTTCATATTCTTAGATCTATATTATGTCATGTTCCTCCTCCTTCTTCTTCTTCTCCTCTAAACCGAGGGTCTATTGGAAATAGTCTTTCTACCTTCACTACGTAGAGGTAAGGTCTGCGTACAAACTACCCTCCTCAAACCCCACCTGTGGGAATATACCAGGTTGGTTGTTGTTGTTGTTGGTTAGGCAGCAGAAAATATTTTTGAAAAATATATAAGTTAGGCAAACACTATATGAGAAGAAATGAATAAGGGCGGGAGAGGGTGGTAGGTCGGGGTCTAGGGATCGGAGTGGCGATGTTAGAAGGGGGTGGCAAGGGGTAGGCCGCCGGGTGGGTGGGGCGTTGAGAAAGATTTTTGGAAAATAGTTTCCCTCCTTTTGATAGGGAAGTTATTTTTCTCCAATCGAAGGAAAATGAGTTCATGAGAAAAATGTTCTCTAAAATATTTAAGCCAACCAAACATGGGAAAATTGGAAAATAATTTCCTTCATACCAAACGCACCCGTTATGATGTAAATGTTGTTAATAAAGTGATCCTAGATATCCATAAGTTCAGGAGTATTACCTCCAACAGTGTTAGCCACAAGGGCACTACAACCCATTCCACAACGAGAATTACCACCACAGTCCTGCAAATGTAAGCATGTTCAAGTTAGAGTCATCTATGTAGTGATTGGACTGACATTTCTGGAAATCACTATCAAAGTCGACAATTTAAAAAATTTCACTTCTAAAAGACAAAATATTTCTATATATGGGCCTAACAAGCCCAAGCTGTATGTGACAAATAAAATGACTTGAAGATGCTTCACCATAAACAACAATTAAACAAACTTCATATATGTACATCTTGGTTATTATGTAATGTTCAGTAAGTTTGAGCAAAACATAAATGTATTGTAGCATAGTTGATAGTCCTCTAAAATCCCTCCCTAGACACCCAAAAATAAATTTATATATTTCCAGTGGCAAATCCAAAAAATTCGTCAAAATAGCAAATATTCAATCTATGATATTATGATAATAAGCAGAGTCTCTAATTTTCAAATGATTACTAGAAAATGAACTTATACGGTATTATCTAATCATCTGTATCCATCAACCAGTCCCCCTGGCCTCTCTCCTTGTATGTTAATAATTGTTTATTCTACGGCATTTCCTAGTTTCCAGAAATTAGCCTATAGACATCTGCAGCCCCACATTAGCTGTGTGTTTAGCAGCTACTGCCTACTAGAGTACTAGTTTCACAGAAGGCTAACTACTTTTCTGTCGCACATAATGACATAATACTCTACATTCACAGGGTAAAAAAGAGAATAAATTTGTCTTTTTATTGCATTAAATAATTGGCAAAGGAACACAGATGAAATTAGACAAGCACTTACCCAACAGTCAATACAGGTAGGAGGATCATGGTTGAAAATCATTGCATCACAAAGCTGCTCATATACAAAGAGAAAGCAAAGTGAGATTCACTGAAGTATTAGCAGCTCCCAAGTTTAACAAGTAATAACATCCAAAAGCTAAACATTTTTTTCTCATCACAAGATGTAACTCCCATGTTTATTAACGATATCATAGGTCAACTACATTATGCTTCCTAAATACACATACTGAAACCCATAATGTCTCATTCACAGAATTAATAGCAGCTACACATCATACTTCTGGTCCATACACCTCAGACAATTAGGAGCTTATAGGATACTTTCTTTTTCTTTCTGACAAAGGGGAGGTTATAAAATACTTAAGTATAAAATTAAATACTCAATGAGCAAGTCTCCAGAAGTCACTGTACAATGAAAATCAAACTAAGCATGACAGTGTAACCTGATGCAGCCAACCTGAAACCATAGCACAGTCCCATTAGCAGCCACCTTGTAGAACCTGAAATTATGTAGAAGTACAGATTACTTTAGTAAAAATGTCACCCCTCAATACACTAACAAAAGAAGAATTTCTTTAGGTTCAGTATCTATGCTACTATATATAAGTCCATTTCATTTTTGCCAAGTCTCATATTGGTTGAGGGAAGAGGTTTTGGACTTCTTATATTGTCCTGGGCAATCCTCCCAAGACAATCATCATGAGCTAGCTTTTGGGGTAGAGTTAGGCCCAAGGGTCATATCTTCACAATGGTACCTGAGCCAGGCCCATCGATCTTTGTTGTTCTGTTTCCCATGTTATGTTATCCACGCTTCAATTCCCACTTTCAGTCTTGGACGATTGAGGGAATGAGTTGTAGTCTCCTTATATGGTTTTGGACAATCCTCCCCTCATGAGCTAACTTTTGGGGTTGAGTTAGGCCAAGAGCCATATCTTCACGCATTTCAACACTTACAATTTGTCTTTTAAGGAAAATTAGAAGTTCTTTGGAACTAGAGTTCGCGAAATCACACACTTATCCTTACACAGACATACAAGTCTCTAACTAAACTAAGACGCTCTTGACGAACCCTTAACCTAATATAATTATAACAACAACTAAGCCTCAATCTCAACTAGTCGGTATATCCTATATGGGTCTTTCGCTTTAATTGTGTTCTGTTCTTAGCTACGACCAATCACATATACTAGAATAAAAGTTTCCCAACATATTCTTTTTCTTTTTTCTTATAACGATGGTGTCTGGCTAGCTTGCACGCACCTCAGACTATTCCGCCGAGTATCGCTACCTCCCACCAGCTCATATACTAGGTAATTCTACCACCAAGGCTTAGAACATACGAGAACAAATCAGCTATTTTTTTTATTTTTTTTTTTGCCTCCGCTAAGATTTGACCCTGAGATCTCATGGTTTTGTTCCCACTTCTACGTTATATCATCAGATGAAAGTATCAATCTGGGATCCAACAATTATTATTTCTCATATTTCATCAAATTACTGAACTATTATTCCCATATTTCACTATATAGCTTCCCAACTAAAATTGACGAAATGGGCCACATGAGCTAAAGTCGCAGTAACAGAAAAGGCGTGAGTTGTAGAAAAATAGCAAGTGAGCTACATAGAAATAGAAAGAGAGAAAGTACCCATCTTCACTGAGGATGCCATGAGGGAAATTACGAATTGGGGCTGTTAAGCTGTAATTATAAAGTTTATTATTCTGCTCAAAACTGAACTGGCACGTTGCATTGACCGAACGGAAGATGGCGGTGAATATTAGTGGAAGAAGAAGCAGAATGAGTGAATGGCGATTTGGGAAAATCGCAGCAATTGTCATTTCGTTTACGGGAATTTCATCAGCAATTTCTGGGTGGTAAAAATTTGCAGTAATTGAAGTTGCGTTTTCTTGATATTCAGACAAATGAAAGTTCGAATCTTGATTCTGGGACTTGGGCGAAACGAAAGATGAACTCATTCGGTTCACTGAGGGACTATTTCATTAAATTTTCTTTTATTTGTTCATAATACTTCTATTGTTATTTTACTAGTTATGTGCTTTGCACATAGGTTTGATTGATGGTTTGAAATAATTAATAACCCCTTCATAAAAGCTTACATAAGATAATATAATATTTGATTGACCGTATAAGAAAAAGATAATTCTCGTACAATATTTAGCTACGATATTCAAAAATATATGAATTAAATTATACTAAAATTTATATATTATTTTATGTAAAATAGAATATAAAATAAGAATATGTATATTAATAATGCAGGGATTAAACGATTAAAGATGAAAATACTTATAAGAGTAACTAGATGTAGAACAATAATCATCTCATTATTAATTATTGTATAACAATTCCTTCATTATTAATTTTCGGATAAATAATCTCTATATAACTAGTATGTGAATTAAGAAATATACTAGTTATGGCAACAAAGAAAACTTGGTTATGGCAAGAGGCTCCAAGAGAAGGAACATTGTTTCCAATTGTGGTGTAAAAATTGATGCTTGAGCTTGTCAAGATAGTATAAAGAATATTCCATTAGGATTGAATTTCTAATATGCTAATTACTGCTTATTGTTAGATACATCATGAGAAATTAGACAGATTGATAAAAAGTTTAAATTGAGTATATCTACTATTTATTACAATTAATGAATTTTTATATATAAATTTATGCATCGCGCATTGAGATGAATCCAACATCGTATATGTGTCAATTTCAGTTTTTTAGCTATATGAAGTTTAAGCAAGAAAGATTTAGATATTTGTGTACTCATATAAATTGGGATCTAGAATGGAGCCTTGAGCAAATAAAATTATTTTTGTGTGATCTATATGTAGAGGCGGACCCATTTGTATGGGTAAAGGGTCACCGAACCTGTAAACTTGGATGAAATCCTGTATATATATACATATATACCTTAAAAATAATTAATTTAAAGCAGTCAGCACCCTCAACACTAAAAGCCTTTAGGAGGCACTGGTTGAACAGAATAATATGCCCCGTCGCCTAAAAATTCTGAATCCGCCTGTGTCTGTATGTCACAATTCGAACTATAAAACTGATGGAGTGTCTCATAAATTGGGGAAAGAATTATAAGAAAATACACATGACTTCACACCATAACAAAAAATGGCCTATGTTTTTAAGTTTTACCCTACCTAGCCCATATTGTACATATTTTGAAAGCATTAGCAAATTCAAAATCTGTGTTCTTACAACCATTGCTTCTAAAAGCTATGGAGTTAAATTTGTGTTCTCACAACCGTTGCTTTCACTCTCTCTTCTTCTCACATCTTCCACATATGCTTCAAGGGGCCGTGTATTTTCTGATTCTCCCCTTGTTTGCAATGTCAGAAAATTGAAGAGTAGAAGTCCACCATTGAAGGTCATTCAAAGCTTTGCTTTCGAAAATAGGATTTTTTGAGTTTGTTAGTTGTTTGGATTGGGTGTTGTTCCAATTGATTGAAAATATCAGAAGGAGTTCAAAATTTAAATTTGAAGTGATTTGGAGTAAATTTGAGCAAGATTTGAGTTAAATTTCAGAAAAAAACGCAAGGTTGAAGACGAAATCAGTTTTTTGTATAATTATGTATAATCTTGTATAATAGTGTATATGAGTATATAAACACATCTCATATACTTTTATACACCTTTATACAAGCGTCTGTAGACGAACTTTTTCCACGATTTTCAGTTACAATTCTTGTTCAAAACCAGTCCAAATTTCCATTAAATGACTTCAAATTTTATATACAACCTCCTTATACTATTTCTAACAAGTCTAAATAACACCCACTCTAAAGTTTTCACAAAATCAAATTCGAAATTTAAATCCACATATTTAAGCTTGTTAAAAATCTAATATTCACCACCCAAATGGAACTGGTTTGTTGAACTAATATTTGAGTCACAATTACTTATTCAAAAATTACCTTAAAAGCTTGAGCAATCTTTTTTAAAAATTAAATAATAATTTCGAGAATCTATTGGAATTGAATATTGAGTATTAGCCTATTATTTTTGAACTAGTTGATTATAAATTGAAATATAGGCTATAAAATTGAAAAGTAGGTAGCCCAGTCAAATTTTCCCTAAATTGGGACCCAGGGAGTACATCATTTATCCTTTTTCTCTTCCTACAAACTGGTCATCTTTCTCTGGTTATACCGTCATTTTCTTTCCACAAGTGTTCCATATACATCGTCATGCTTCTAAAAGTAGCACCAGCTTTCGCCTTGTTGAATAGCCATGGGGAAAATCTAAGTCCCATGTTATCAACTTCTTCATATGTATCTTTTCTGAAGAATTTTTCTACAAAGAGTAGAAATGGATTATTAGTGGTTTGTGCTTCAAAGGGTTCGAACAGCAGCAAGCCTTTAACAGGAATCGTATTTGAGCCTTTTGAAGAGGTGAAAAAAGAGCTTATGCTTGTACCTACTGTTCCTCAAGCTTCTCTTGCTAGGCAAAAATACTCTGATCAATGTGAAGCTGCTCTTAATGAACAGATCAAGTGAGTTCTGTGACATCCCTAAGTTTTTTTTTTTTTTTTTTTGGATGATATTTTGGGTTTTAGATAAATTATTGTTGGAAAATATAAATTATTAAATAAGAAGCCCAACTAGTTTGGAGTTGAGGGTCTTTGTATTAAGACAAAATATAATTAAATGATTATTGGTATGCTCCCTATAATAATTTAAGTTTTTAGTTGAGATGGTATTAGGTAGAGGTCCCGAGTACGAACCTCCGCTCAATAAGTTCAATTATAAGTTGTTGTTGGTTTCTTATGTTTCAGATATGTTATACTTTGGTTTTTAGCTATTTATGATACTCTAGTATTTTAATTTATGTGAACCTATTTGATTTAACATGAAGTTTAAGAAAGAAATGAATACTTTTAAAATTTTTGGTACTAAACAAGTCATAATATTTGTGTGATTATAATTCTTTTGAAACTTATAGTGTTAAACGAGAGATTGTTTGTGTGGCTATAAAACCTTCTCATTGAGGGAGGGTAGAATAGGGAGTTTAAGTTAAGTTATTTTCAAATTTAGAACGAGGTAATTCTTTTTTAAACATATAAAAAAGGAAATAGCTTCACATAAAGTTAAAGAGACAGAGTACTATTTTACACTCTTTTTTTTTTTCTTTTTTTTTTTTGCGATTGCAGTGTGGAATACAATGTTTCATATGTTTACCATGCGATGTATGCCTATTTCGATAGAGACAATGTTGCTCTCAGGGGTCTGGCCAGGTAAAAGTTTTCAAAGATTTTCTCGAATTTGTGGTGCATTTTTTCATGACTTGTTAAATAGTAGTGTGTTATTATGGGTTATTGTTTTGTTTACTTAGGTTTTTCAAAGAATCAAGTGAAGAGGAAAGAGACCATGCTGAGAAATTTATGGAGTATCAGGTGTTTGACAGTTTGCCTCAATGAAAATTTGTTTTTTTTTTCTTTTTGCTTTTGGGGGTAAGGAAGTGGCAAATTATTAGAGATGGTTTTATACGTTAATTGAATTGGTTCTAACTTTGTGTTTCGTGGTTTAGAACAAGCGTGGTGGTAAAGTGAAGCTGCAGTCGATTTTGATGCCACTATCTGAGTTTGATCATGCTGAGAAGGGTGATGCGTTATATGGTAAGTTTTTTTCTGTTCGCTTATGTTCCTATTTTTGTAGTTAGACTATTTTTGTCTAGGTTTCAAGTTGCTAAAACTGTTTTCTGCTTATCAGGGGGAAAATTAATTATTTGGCAGAGGCCAGCATGTGTCTTGCATAATTTACTGAGAACTGAGTGCTTCTTTTATTTTTATGGCCTCGTAAGCTCACATGCCGAATAACTACTACGTCCCCTTCAATGGAATTTGTGGATTTGGAAATATTGAAGTTCTTGTGTTGTTACATTCTGAAAATAGCAGATTGAGCTTTCAGTTCCTTACCACATGCTTTGTTGAATTTATTCTTTAGCGATGGAGCTTGCACTTTCTTTGGAGAAGTTGACAAATCAAAAGCTTTTAAACTTGCACGCTGTGAGTTCTTCTACTATTCTTGTTTTGTTGTATCCTTATTCATTTGGATCAATTTTGGAATTGGCAACCATTGTGTTGGTTCCCATTACCAAAATTACAAAATAAAAAACCAGAAAGAATTATTTTTCACATTGTGGCTTTAGAATATGTCATTAATGCATTTTGGCTGATGTAACCTTTAAAAACAGGTAGCCACACGAAACAATGATGTGCAGTTGGCTGATTTTGTTGAAAGCGAGTACTTACGAGAACAGGTCTGGGTTCCTGAACTTGAGAAATACTATTTGTTTAACGGAGTTCTTGAGCTTTAAATACTAAATGCATATGGTGTATCAATGATACTGATTTAAGAAATGTTCTTCTTATTAGGTGGAAGCAATCAAGATGATCTCGGAATATGTGGCTCAGCTGAGAAGAGTGGGCAAAGGACATGGTAGGATCGCTCTCCCTTGTGAATAGCTTTTCATTAATTGCAGTTCCCATATCTGTTTATTAACTTTTCAACCTCTTCGGTTATAATTTAGGTGTCTGGCACTTTGATCAAATGCTCCTGCAAGAGGAGGAAGTTTTTGCATGATGGAGAAGATAGTCTTACTCCAACTTTCCATGTGTGCTCTGCCCTTTTGGAGGATGTTGTTTTGGGTATATGTTTGTATTAGCGTTGTCTATGATATATGGAGTGTCTTAGTAGCAGAAAATCCTGGAGTTGTGTACATATTGACCAAATAGATTTACTTATCTGTGCTACTATTACTCTTTTTAGTACTTGCTGGCATTTGAATCAGTTTAATCTTTCTATCATGATTGCTAGTTGTAGCTTGAAATCAAAGGTGTACCAGAGACGTTAAGTGTAAAGAGAAATTATCAGTTTTGTTTCTTGAAGGATGTTGGTTCAGTTGGAATAATAAATGATTGTATTTGAGGAGAGGTCGCTTTGTTTCCAGTGTTTGTTTCTGTGTTTCTGCAAATTATTGCAGGAAGGAGTCCAACACTCGTTCAGGTGAGTGAAAATAGGCGATATGACAGCCCTGGGATAATGAACTAGTGATGGTCTCTTGTTATGTGTTTGAAATTTGGATTCCCAACTTTGCTATCAGCCAGTCCTGGCTTCTTATAATATGATATCTCCAGTTTCTGTCTGAATTTTAGTTTGAACAGTTAGTAAGTAAGCGTTACAGGTTCACCGCAATGCATGTATTGCTTCCAACGTAAGTCTGGACTCAGATGGATATGCATTTATCATAACTGCATGAAGCATTGTGTTTTCCCCTCGCTCTGTGATCTGCGGAGTATGTTGCTGTTGCGTTTTGATACTTAAGTGATTCAATTAGTCTCATCTCTTTATGGATGTATATTTATTAGCAATTCATGTCATTCAATTGAAATTATATCCAATTATCATATGGTTGTTTTCAGGAGTTAGAGATCTGGTAATCAGATTCTAGCTGTGAAATAGTGATTCTTAATTATATACGGATTAAGAGTCTAATTAACACCTTCTAGTAGTACGAAGACGAACTTGGCTAATCAAACCACTTTATAATTCTATAATATTTATTTGTTTTGTTATATATAATAGATTGTCACTATACAAAAAATATACAAAATAGACTTTCACTATACAAAAAATATACGAAATAGACATTTCGGGCTATTAATGTAATATGTTTGGGCCGGAGGGACATTTCGGGTCAAAGGGAAAAAACATTGGCTATTAAAATTATAATAATATACCCAGTGTAATTTTATAAGTAGGGTCTAGATAGGTTAGTGGGGGGAAATGCACAATTAGCCACTAATAAGATATGTATTTACTTTTAAGCCACTGTTTAAAATATCTTTAGTCTTTAGCCACTGCTTTAATAAACTTTACCCGCCCGGACAAAAATACCCTTCTGCTCATAAAGTTCAGGACCAAGTGTCCTTAATTTATGAGCTTGTTACTGTAAGTTCAGGACTAGTTGTCTTTAATTTATGAGCTTGTAAGTCTAAGTTTAGGACTACATGTCCTTAACTTACTTGGAACTCGAAGTTCAGGACTACCCGTCGTTAATTTATGTGCTTGTAACTCTAAGTTAAGGACTACTTGTCCTTAATTTCTATGCTTGTAACTCTAAGTTAAGGACCAAGTGTCCTTAATTTTTGACCTTCCAACTCTAAGTTCAAGACCAAGTGTTCTTAACTTATGAGCTTGTTACTGTAAGTTCAGGACTAGTTGTCCTTAATTTATGAGCTTGTAAGTCTAAGTTAAAGACTATTTGGCTTTAGTTTTTGAACTTGTAACTCTAAGTTTAGGACTACCTGTCCTTAACTTTTGAACTTGTAACTCTAAGTTCAGGACTACATGTCCTTAACTTTTGAACTTGGAACTCGAAGTTCAGGACTACCTGTCCTTAATTTCTGTGCTTGTAACTCTAAGTTAAGGACTACCTTTTCTTAATTTCTGTGCTTGTAACTCTAAGCTAAGGACCAAGTGTCCTTAATTTTTGAACTTCCAACTCTAAGTTCAGGATCAATTGTCCTTGACACATCTGACTCCACAATCTGAATGTGTACCTCCAAATTCCAATGGTATAAGTTTATCTATTGGCCACTCATTTACTTGTTCCACTACAAACCCACTGACCTCTCATTCTCGATCTGGTAATCACATTTTCATCTTTATGTGATTCATCCTCTCCCATGGCCACGGAATCCTCTTCTGTAGAAGCATCGCCGGTATAAACACTGTATCTCCGTTTGGGAAGGAAAAGAAATAGAAGAAAGGGTAACACCGTCTTTTCATATTAATTTTAATAGATTAGTGGCTACTTTTGGTCAGCATTAAAAATGCTGGATAAAAGTAAATACCACTTTAAAAAATAGCTACCTCACATAATTTTTAATGTGTACACAGACCTTACTCTTATCTTGTCCAGCTAAAAAGGCTATTTTCGACATACCTTAGGCTCTACAAAAACAAAAATCATAGTCAGATTTTCCAAGTGGCTTCAAAATAACAACTCGTTACCGAGTGTCACAAAGGAAATAATTTCTTCTACTATCTCTCTTTTTTTTCAAAAAAACAAACTAAATCTATACCACATAAATTAAAAATCTTTAACTGTTCCAAATAAGAGGAGAAATGAAAGGTCTTTGGACTTTTGACACGTGTCAACAAGACATGATCCTAATTGTATCACCCGTGGACCCCAGAAGTTACACACACATAAATTGTCTGTCCGTCTTGATCTAACGGCCAATTAGAGTTGACCATTAGCGTATGAAATCTCGAGCCGCTTCTCAAAAAGCATGAACCTACTTAGCTTCTTGTCGAAGAAATATCCGCAAAGCATTCACAATAGAGAATCCACTATAAATAAAGCGCAACGATTCCTAAAAACCGAGGGAATCACGAACAAATAGAAAGAACAAATGTTGAAAAACTCCATCAGTATTGCTCTGCTACTACTGCTTGAAGTTCTACTAGCGATTGCGATACACACAAGCGCTGATAAATCCTTCGACGTCCGTCAACATCTGTCAACTGTTTCGAGGTCTCTCTCTCTCTCTCTCTCTCTCTCTCTCTCTCTCTCTCTCTCAATTTGAAATACTGTTAAAGAGAAATGTGATTCGATATATCCAGCAATTGTTCTAATTTTGAGCTATGTGAATCGAAGATTTAAAGTTGCAGAGTACAACTGTATCCACTATGCGGTATGAGTGTGGACTAATATCACTATGGATTTTAGTTCTATATACTGATAATGTAATTTTTCTTTTACATTATCATTAATTTTAACATGTGACGGCAGGTTAGTTAACAATTTTGCCAAAATAGCAATTGTTAGGTCTAAGAGATTTAGCTGTAATTAACTAAGTGACATGATTGTGTAATATTTTTATATTGTTTGTGCGTAGAACTTAAACTTAATAAAATATTTATAGTTTGAAGAGGATTCAAGTTATATAGACTGTGTGGAAACTAATTACATTGTTAAGTAATTTGACTTGTTATAGCATGTTACCGATGTTCTTTTCAGGTTACTAATCAATCTTATTATAGAGTTGCTGCAATAACCTATTAGACGACTTGATTGTGTAACATAAATGACATAGAATTTAAAAGAAAATAATTCATTCAACATATTCCATTGTTGAATTACGCTGTTGATTTACTTGTCTATTGGTTTCGCGTGCAGATACGATATTGTGAAGGATATATCTGACAATTCCTTTGTACCTTCCCAAATTCCAGATCAATGTACTCCGATTCATTTGAATCTTGTGGTGAGTCTTTGTTTTAGTGTTTCTACTGGTCCACTTTTCTTCTTGTGGTGTCAAATGCGAATTGATTTAGAAATTTTAAGTTGTAGTTGTTGTATTTTTTTTAAGAAAAGGGCAGCTTCGTGTATGAAGCTTCCTGCGTTCGCGTAGCATTTGAGGAAGGGGCCGTACCCCAAAGGGTGTGTGATGGAGGCAGCCTACCCCGATTCAAGCGTTAATGGATGATTCCATGACTTGAATCCATGACGTCACAAAGAGACAAATTTACCATTGCTTTGTGGCTTTCTTTCAGTTGTGTTATTTTCTGTTATTTGATTTTTTTTTGGTAACTACATGGAAGCTTTTCATTGCCTATGCTGAATAGGAAATCTGTGTTTAATAATATTATCCTTATTATTCCTCTGAATCTGAAAGAACTATAACAGTCATGGAAATTGTGGATATGTGTGCGTAGGGTGCATCAACACTATATCACCTTGTCTTTATACTCTAGGCCTCAGAGTACATTTTGATATTTTCTCGACTTCATTGAATAATACAAAAGTTTAGGCTGCCATTGGAAGTCTATCTGCGCCAAGTTGGAGCAATATTTTGCTTATTACTTATTTATTTTTTATCACTGTGGTGCTTGGGCTAGCACGGCCTTGGACGCTTCTCGACTAGTCCACTAGGTACCTGTTAGCTTCCATCAACATACGTACCGGGAACCAAGATTTAGACAAAATGGAGAAATCACCTAGTATTGCTTTGGCTAGAATGCAAACCTTAGCTCCTAAGATTGTCACTCCAGCTCTTCAGCCGGTTGGCCATTCTATTGTGTTGGAATATAAAGCAAGAAACGAGCAAAGGAATAAATGAGATATTAATATGCTGCTCATCATATTTTATTCAATAATCAAAGCCATATTTATACAAGAATTTTTAACTGAAAAGCTCTAAAGAAAAGCAGAAAATCAGCTGCAGATTATCCCTAACAAATAGCAACAGAAAGATAAGATTCTGCTAACAGTTACAAGGCTTATTTATCTCAACAACTTCCTTGCTTTGAGCAGATTTTGAACTTCAGCAGTTATGCAAAATTTCCAGCTGTTGAGCCAGTAACTTCAACACTCCTCCTTGACTCAAGAGCAACAACACCAAGTTTTTCTCTAAGAAATTCAAATCTGGATCTAGGTAGAGCCTTAGTTAAAATATCGGCAATCTGAAATTCGCTTTTGCAATATACTAAAGCTACCTCTCCATTCTTCTGCACTTCTCTTAAGAAATAAAGCTTAATCTTGAAATGTTTTGTCTTCCCATGGAACACAGGATTATTTGCAATAGAAATTGCAGCTTGATTATCAACAAAGATTCCAGTGCTCTTCTTTTGCTCCATGTACAAATCTGCCAGCAGTTTCCTAACCCAAAGAGCCTGATTCACAGCTGATGCAGCTGCAACATACTCTGCTTCAGCGGTAGATTGAGCAACTACATCTTGCTTCTTTGAACACCAAGAGAATGCACCAGAACCAAAACTGAAACAATAACCTGAAGTGCTTCTCATATCATCTAAGCAGCCCGCCCAATCGCTATCAGAATATCCATGAAACTGAAACTCTAAGGCTCTTTTGAACATGATGCCAAAATTAACAGTACCTTTGACATATCTAATAATACGTTTAGCTGCTTGAAAATGAATTTCACTGGCACAGTGCATATACCTCGAAAGTAAACTCACAGAATGAACAATATCTGGCCTCGTTGCAGTCAAGTACATCAGGCCACCTATCAAGCTCCTGTAAAGTCCTTCATCAATCTTTTCAGCTCCATCTTCTTTGCAAAACTTCTCCTTTTGATTCATAGGAGTTGTCATAGGCTTGCAATCTTCCATTTTGAACTTTTTCAGTATTTCTTTGGCATATTTCTGCTGGCATATAAAAATCTCATTTTGTTTTTGCTGAACTTCCATCCCAAGGAAGTAGAACATCTCACAAAGGTCTGTCATCTCAAAGACCTCCTTCATTTCAGTCTTAAACTGACTGATTAAGTCTGAACTGCTACCTGTAACTAATAAATCATCAACAATATAGTGAGATAATAATTAAATATGTTTCTTCCTTCCGGATATACAGTGTGGATTCACTCAAACTTTTCTGAAATCCTAAACTGAGAAGATGGGCATCAATCCTACTATACCAAGCTCCAGGAGCTTGCTTCAACCCATATAATGCCTTCTTTAATAGATATACCTTGTCTTCTTTACCTTTCACAGAAAAACCTTCAGGTTGCTCTACAAAGATTTCTTCTTCAAGGTGACCATTGAGGAAGGCAGATTTCACATCAAGTTGGTGGATTTTCCATCCATGTTGAGCTGATAAAGCTAGTAGCATTCTCACTGTATCCAAGCGAGCAACAGGAGCGAAAGTTTCTGAAAAATCCACTCCAAACATTTGCGCATACCCTTTCACAACTAGTCTGACCTTGTAGTTGTTTACGGAACCATCAGGGTTGAGCTTGGTTCTATAAACCCACTTGACTCCAATAGCTTTCTTTGATGGTCTATCAACCAGCTCCCATGTGTTGTTCTTTTCTATCATTTTCAGCTCCTCCTGCATTGCAGTCCTCCATTTCTCATCTTTTGCAGCTTCTGGAAATCTTGCAGGTTCTAAAATAGCAACATTACACCTTTGGTATATATCAGAAAGTGGTCTTGTGCCTCGGATAGGTACATGATCAACATCTTCATCCGGAAACTCTAGATTTTTCTGTTTTTCACCATCTTTCCAGTTCCAGGTGTCATTCTCCAAGAACTTGACATCCCTGCTAACGACGACTTTGTCATTTTGAGGTTGATAGATCCTGTAAGCTTTTGAGATACTGCTGTATCCTACAAAAATTCCAGGTTCAGCCTTTTTATCTAGCTTATCTCTTTTCACCTGAGGTACATAAGAGAAACAAAGACAACCAAAAACTTTCAGATTTGTTAGCATACGTTTGTAACCAAACCAAGTCTCAAAGGGAGTCTTCTTCTGCAAAGCTTTGGTTGGCAATCTGTTTAGCAAAAACACTGCAGTATTTGCAGCTTCTGCCCAAAATTGCTTAGGTAACCCTTTTTCATGGAGTAAACACCTTGTCATTTCCATTAAGGTCCTATTTTTCCTCTCTACTACTCCATTTTGTTGAGGAGTGTATGGCGCCGTTAGCTGATGCTCAATTCCCGCTTCATCACAAAACTTGTTAAACTTTTCCGAAGTATACTCAGTTCCATTATCTGTTCTTACCATCTGAATTTTGCAGCCACTCTGATTTTCCACCAAAGCCTTATATTTCCAAAATACACCGGCAACCTCAGATTTAAAATTTAAAAAATAAATCCAACAATATCTGGTGCAATCATCAATAAAGGCAATGTAGTACTTACTGCCCTTCAAAGATGGTGTTTTTTGAGGTCCACCTACATCTGTGTGAATAAGTTGCAGCTTCTGTTTTGCCCTCCAAGATGACTTCTGAAAAGGAAGCCTAGTTTGTTTTCCATACTGGCAAGCTTCACAAGCAGGTAGATTTTTCTCAATGCTTGGAAGACCTTCTGCTAGGTGATTTTCTTTCATGAAAAGTATTGCATCATGATGGAAATGTCCAAGTCTTTTGTGCCATAGTTCTGAGTTATTGGCTAACTGGACAACTGCGGCTTGTTCCTCCTCCAGCAGATTCAAGGAAAAACTTTTGCCTCTCATCTTGACCTTGAACAACTCTTTGTTATCAGCATCCTTGATCAGACACGCTTTATCTTCAAACAACAACTTGAAACCATTTTCAAGTAGGTGCCCAACACTTGAGAGGTTTCGATCAAGATCGGGAACAAAAAGAACATCAGTTATAAGTTTCAAACTTGTAAGGCTTTCAATTGCGACGGTTCCTCTGCCTTTCTCATCGAGTAATTCTCCGTTTCCAATCCTGACTTTGTCGATGACAGAGCGATCTAGCTCTCGAAAGAGCTCTTGATCATTGGTCATATGATTTGTGCATCCGCTATCAATTAACCAGCTTTCAGAACTGTTGTTGCTAGCAAAACAAGTTGCTACAAATAACTGTTCTTCTTGATGTTGATTTGCAGCGGCATTGGCTTCCTCATTTGTGGTTGTGACTTGCATACCCTCTCAACATGGCCTAGTTGACCACATTTGTTACACTTGATATCTGGTCTCCACCAACATTTTTGTTGAGGATGATTTGTCTTTTTGCAATGAGGGCAGGGTGGATGGGCTCCTCCTTGATTGTTATTGTTATTGCTTTGCCTTTGCTTCCTGTTCTTTTTCCTGCCTTTGAATCATTGTTCTGTGATTTAGCTTGAAAAGCTCCTTCGACAGAACTTTCCTTCCTCATTATTCTCCTTTGCTCCAATGCCTGCAAAGCTTTAACAAGCCTGCAAAGCTTCAAAAGTGGCCTTGGAAGATGGTTTGGAAGACTACAGTCCCAACAAAAGTAGCATGTTTTGGTTGGCTAGTAGCACATGAAGCATGTCTGACTCAAGAAAATTTGATGAGAAGGGGTTGGATAATGTGCAGCAGGTGTTACTTGTGTGAGAAAGCTTGTGAATCCGTGGACCGTCTTTTTTTGCATTGTGAATTTACTTGGCAGGTGTGGTCCATGTTCACGGCTAACTTTGGCATCCTTTGGGCAAGTCCTAAGAAATTCAGGAATATATTAGAGTGTTGGGAACCTGCATGTCCAGAAGCATCCTTAAAGAAGTTTTGGAGAGATATTCCTCTTAGCATAGCTTGGACGATATGGAAAGAAAGAAATAATAGGTGTTTTGAAGGCAAGAAGGAGCAACTGCAATATGTGAAATACAGTTGTTTACATTATTTGTACTATTGGAAAGATGGAAATGTTGTTATGAATTTTCATGATATGCTGGACATGCTAGACCGCTTAGGATTTTAATGTTTTTAAGCCAGCAGTATCCTTGTATTTTTACAGTATCAGCTTGATACTGTTTTTAATAAAATCTTCACCTTATCAAAAAAAAAAAAAAGTTCTGCCAAGGTGATAGTTGACAGATCTTTGGAATTCTCTAAAGAAGAGATCGTGGCTTCATATTTCTCAGGCAGTGTTACAAGAATTTTTTGAACAAATCTTTCATCATTAAATTCCTTACCAAACAATCTCACCTTGTTGGCTATGTCAAGCAATTGGTCTGAATAATCCATTATAGTTTCTGATTCTTTCATTTTCTTCATTTCAAATTCTCGAATTAGATTCATTACTTGCATATTCTGCACTCTTTCATTTCCTTTGTATTCTTTTTTGAGATACTCCCAAATTGCTGCTGCAGATTGCATTTGCATAATTCTGGTGAGAATTGAAGGTGATACTGTAGAGAAAAGACATGCTTTAGCTTTGGCTTTCCTTGTCTTTTTCTCCTTGTGAATTTTTATCTGATTAATTGTTGGATTATTTCCAAGAGGAGTTACCTCGTAGTCCTCTTCTACTGCTTCCCAGAGATCCAGTACTTCAAGATGAACTGTCATTCTAATTGCCCAAGCTTGATAATTCTCACCATTGAAGACTGGTGGAGTTAAGAAGCTCGATTCAAAATCCATTTTCTATAAACTATTTAAGATAACAGTTTAAAGAATGTATTGTGAAGTGCTTTGGGTGGAAGAATTGGTATTTGGTTCACTCTCTACTCACAAGGCTCTAGATACCAATCTGTTGGAATATAAAGCAAGAAACGAGCAAAGGAATAAATGAGATATTAATATGCTGCTCATCATATTTTATTCAATAATCAAAGCCATATTTATACAAGAATTTATAACTGAAAAGCTCTAAAGAAAAGCAGAAAATCAGCTGCAGATTATCCCTAACAAATAGCAACAGAAAGATAAGATTCTGCTAACAGTTACAAGGCTTATTTATCTCAACAACTTCCTTGCTTTGAGCAGATTTTGAACTTCAGCAGTTATGCAAAATTTCCAGCTGTTGAGGCAGTAACTTCAACATATTGGGGAGTGAAGCAATCAGAAAATCTTAATTCTGTTAAGATTTGGAAGATGCTAAGTATATAATACTGAAGGAAAGTTACAGAGGGTATCCCATAAATCTAGATTGCTATTAAAGTCACATCTAATTCACCAAATGATTCTAGCTCAAGATAACTCTAACCTATTAGTAGCTACAAATCTGTACGACTACTCAAAAATTTGAACAGGATTGTCCTCCATTTTTGAGTGTCCTGTATCTTGTCCTACCGTTCTGTTTCATTCTAAATGTAGGTTCAAGCTTCTTCTCATCCATGTCGATTACTATTTTGGAACTTTATCTGCCTTCCATTTTCCCTTTTGAGCTTTATAGTGGAAAATACGTAGATATTAGTTGCTCGTAAAACTTGCACAAATGTGAATTTAGGGGTTCTCTTATATAAATTGTTCTTGATATAAAAGGAAATATATGATTGTTTCTCTCAGGTAATGCTATGTTCATAAGAGATAGTTCTATATTGATTCATCTTAATGGGTGACTTCTTATTCGGTAGGCACGGCATGGCACTCGTGCTCCGACCAAGAAGAGGATAAGGGAGTTAGAAGCCTTGGCTGGTCGACTGGAAGTCCTTGTACGTGATGCTAAGGAACAGAAGCAGTCTTTGGATAAAATTCCTGCTTGGTTAACAGGATGGAGCTCTCCTTGGAAGGGAAAGCATACGGGTGGAGAGTTGATCCGTGAGGGCGAAGAAGAGTTATATCAGCTTGGTATCAGAGTCCGAGAACAGTTTCCAGACCTGTTTAGTGATGAATACCACCCTGATATATATTCAATCAAGGCTACCCAGGTTAACAGATCAGTTATTTACTTTTTAAAATCTGCCAAGTAATCATCACTTTAAGGGTCAACACACTTATTGTTAGAGTGGTTTTATTACGCATTGCCTCACAACGCTTTCCGAATTGCACAAGTTCTTCCTTTACCCACCAAAGCACATGTTCATTTCTTCATCAAGTGATGGATCAAAGGATTCTGCTGCTTTAAGATTCTTTTTGATTTGCAAGATTATAGAACTTGTTAGCATTCCTGTCTTCCTTATAACTGGTAGTCATCTGATTCTGTCCCAATTTCTTGCTAGATCATGCGTAACAATAACTCTTGACTGTGATAGCGATATTTATAGGTTCCTCGGGCATCAGCTAGCGCTGTGGCATTTGGAATGGGGCTGTTTAGTGGAAAAGGGAAGCTTGGGCCCGGGGCTCATCGAGCTTTTGCTGTTACCAGTGAAAGCCGTGCAAGTGATATAGTTCTGAGATTTCATGATTGTTGTCAAAACTACAAGGTATGCTTGCAAATTCTATTTGGTGGCTGTCTTTAGTAGGTAACTTCAAATACAATTTGCAATTGGTAATTCTTTTGAGTTTTTTCTTGTTTGTTGGGGCTTGATTTTATAGTTGTGAGTACATTAGACCTGGAAACTAGTGCATTGAGCATCTCTAAGTACAACATATTCCAGTTTCCATTTTCAGAATTGTTTGAACCTGACTTCAAAGGCCCATTTTTGTGGTTGATCTTTTTTCTTCTTCTGACTTTAAAAGGAGTAATTGATAACTGCTTCCATGATCAAGTGTGTATGAATCCAAGTCACTGTTTACTCTGGCTATTATATCTAGTACCTCAAGTCCCAACCATCTGTACTTTATATAAATTCAATCAAATCATGCACTGAGAGCTGACATATCACAAGAGAATTTAAGTTCTTTATTACTCTGATATGCCTAGTGGTATTATTTGGAATTCAGCACTAAAAATGGTTTGCTCGCATAAAGTGGAAGTCAATTTTTCCCAATTGAATCTACCTCTTTCCTTAAAAACGGTTTGCTCGCATAAAGTGGAGGTCAATTTTTCCCGATTGAATTAACCTCTTTCCTTAACTGACAAAGTTCCCATCTCTTTATAAAGCAGTGCATAAAATGGATAACATTAGAAAATTTGAACTTTGATCAGACATTCATTTTTCAACAAACTCACTTCCTCTCATCCAATCATTATTTTGAACATACTCCCTACTAAACCTTATTTTTGAACGTATCTCCTAACAATTTCCAGTAGGGTCTCTTCTCTAGTTAATTGAGGCAACAGAAATGGGTTGGAAGGAGTTGTAATGAAGAATCATGGGAAACATTTTCTTTTCCTCATTACTGTGAATCCAAGAAAAGACCCTTATCCAGATTTTGAGTTGCTAGTTATCGAGAATGATAATAATAGCAGTTACTAGGAGATACATGCCACCAATAAAGTGTAATCTTGTCTGTGTTAATAGAAAAAGTGCTTAAGTCCTTAGGGCATATTACCAATTTAAAAATTGAAACAGAATTAAAAAAAAAAAAAAAGGAACTCCTTGCAGAATATTTATGACTTAGGTGTCAAAATATTATTTCAGCTATTCAACGAGGTATTTAGTATCAAAGGCCTTGATTATTCACTATTTTCTTGAATTGCACCTCCAATATCCTATCTTCCCCTCCCTGCATTTTCTGCTTTTCCTGCACCTACTTGTATTACTGCTGATTTGGTTTCTTTCTGACATGTGTGTACACACTAATGTTTGATTTACGTGACATTTCTTTTTGGTGGCAGGATTTTAGGAAAAGTCAGAAGCCAACTGTAGAGAAGCTCAAAGAACCTATATTAGATGAAATTACTCATGAACTAGTGAGGCAATATGGGCTTAATTTTACTAAACAAGATGTATCTTCTTTATGGTTTCTCTGCAAACAGGTTAGTATTGCAATTATTAGTGTTCCAGTGGTGCTAAACCTTTTGCCTTTTCTTTTTTATTTGTTTTGATCTGGGAATAGTTACTTGTCTCTAATTGACAACTCCTACAGGAAGCTTCCCTGTTGAACATCACCAATCAAGCTTGTAGTATATTCAGGCCATCTGAGGTACTTTAAGTTAATCCCTTTTTTCCATGGTTCCTCTTGGACTTAATAAGCAGCAGAGAAAGGGAGGAGGGGTTTGTAGGTTCCTAGGTTTTGGTAGTTTTAGTTCTGCATTATTACGTTGTAAGGAGCTCTCCTTTGTTTATCTTAGGTCATAACTGGGGAAGTTGGGACCTTAAGAGTGATTAGGCTAACTCAATTGATGTTTTGATTAGAAGGTAGTCGGCCCTTGTTATAAATGGATTTCTCTATTATACAATGTATCTCCAGCTCTTCATCGGGATAGGAAGTTGAGTCCTTGTTGTTTCCATCCATCCTTATTGACATCATTTTTTTAGGTTTCTTTGTTGGAATGGGCCGATGATTTGGAGTCGTTCATACTGAAGGGCTATGGTAATTCACTAAATTACCGAATGGGAGTCCCGCTACTTGAGGATGTAATTCAATCCATGGAACAGGCAATCAAGGCTAAAGAAGGTAACATAATTGAATTAGCATTATCTTGTTGTCTTACTTTCCCCGTCCAACAAGATTTTAGAGGAAGAGATAATTGGGAAAAAGGTGAAGCCAACCCCCTAAAACTTGTGTACTCAATCTACAAGAGTCGCTAGATATAGGATGTGATATCTCTCCTTATTAAAAGGAGGCCAAGGATTTCTCTCCTTATTAAAGAAAGGCCAAGTCAACTTCATTATATGTTATATTTCCCATAACCTGTTAACTTTACTGATTCTGTTCTTATTCCACGACTCTATTCCCGGGGTTATTGAGCTATCCCTTCAACTTCTAACTAGAGGATAGTTGGATAAGGTTAGAAAGTGGAGCCTTTAAAATACCAATTACTATTTTGTTTAATTATACCAATTATTTGGTATTGTTATTTGTTAGTAACTAGTACCTTCCATTATTGCTCACATTCATCTCTCTAGAAATCATTTTGCCTATACATATCTTTATGGAAGCTATATCTGGTGTTCTTCGTTTCATGTGCATTCTCCTCCTTTAGAAGGATATGCTTCCGGGAGCTATGAAAAGGCAAGACTACGTTTTGCTCATGCAGAAACTCTACTTCCTTTTTCATGCTTGCTTGGGCTCTTTCTTGAAGAATCTGGTGAGTGTTTATCAATAGGATTGTTTTAGGCTTCTACTGCCTCCGGTTTCTTAATCAATTAAATGCACTGAATGTTGTAGAATTTGAACTAATACAAAGAGAGGAGACGTTGCAATTCCCTCCTAAGCCTCCTGCAAAGAGAAACTGGCGGGGAAGTATTGTGACACCTTTTGCTGGAAATAACATGCTAGTCCTGTACAACTGCGTGTCAAATAACTCAAGCAAGTACTTTGTGAAAGTGCTGCACAATGAACGTCCCATTCCTATTCCAGTAAGTTTTCTGATCACATTCTTGTGAACATGAACATTGGTGGTCTTTCTTTTCGGATCTAGATCAGCCGGCCTACAAGTTTTTTTCCCTTTACTTTTCATTTTCAACTCTTGAAAAAAGTTTCAATGGCTGTGATGTCCAGTCTTCCAACTTGTGCCACAAGTGACGCAAATTCATTCCTTTGGAGGTTTCAAAGGCTGCATTCTCAAATTTTCATGATATTATTTGTTCCCCTTTTCTGTTCTAAGCTTTTGATGCTTCGATTTCTCTTTGCTCATAGGGTTGCAATGGCTCAGATTCCTGCCCATTTGAAGTATTTAAGGTACAACTTCTACATTTCACTAGAGGATTCAATTTACTGTTACATTGGCCATCTCTTACTCGTTACAATGCGTTCCTCCAGGAAAGAATTGTTGCTCCTCACTTGAAACATGACTACAACGCGCTTTGCAACGTAAACTTGGAACAAAAAGAGAAGAATTCTGCCCCCAGCAAGTTATCACAAATGTTTAGTTGGTTTTTCTCCCTAAGAAATGTTGTTACACCCGCTCAGAATGTCGAGCTGTAACAACTATTACGCCTCAATTTCAAGCATTGGGGAACTTTGATCTGTGTGTTTTATAAGCTGATTCAACCAGTGGCTAGCATGTGCCTTGGTGTGGTACAATTTCCAAGGTAACTGTCTTGTATAATCAAGTTTTTTGGTGACTGGTCTAACCATAGGGTAGCCAAAATGGAATGTATTCAATTACATAGTTTATAGTAGTAGTTTTCACTTCCAAAAATGTAATGCTCCATTCTTGTAGGTCCTTTGATTTCCCTTCATCCTCCGAAGATTGAATTACTTTGTGGATGTATAGAACAAAAACAGTTTGCTGAAGTCCTAATATGGCAAGTTTTAGATACACAATTGATCTGAAAATTGACCCATGACTAACAATAGAGCTGCATTAAAAAATGGTAAAAGGCTATTGGTGTATATGTTTGGACTATCTATTTGACACTATTTTTCTTTTTGATTATTGGAACTCTTCAAATTTTCTTCTAGATTAGACTTTGAAATTAATAATAGCATGCTATACACATGTAATATCTTTTTATCTACACTTGTCATCATTAAAAGAGAATCTCAACATTTTAAACATCTTCTAAGAAGCCACTCTACATGACCGGGGGCGGATGTAGTATAGGAGTTATTGATTTACCTAACTTCAGCTCGGATCCTGTGTTAAATTTTTTATTAAATTGATTTATCTGAACTTTAGCTCGGATTCTATATACGTGTTAAATTTTTTATTAAATAAACATAAATAATAGATTCTAAGACCAGTAAATCAAATGGGATGTGATACAAAGATAGATTTAGGATTTAAATTTTATAGGTTCGGATACGAAATTCTATCACATCGCATCTACTTTACGGGTCCAAAATATATCCTTTGCACTTATTTAATGTAACTTTCGAACATATATACATGGTCTAGCCAATGTTACAGGGTTAAGATGAACCCATAAAATTTTCATTAGCTCCGCCCTGATGTGATAGAATTTTCAACTTGAACTTAAAAAATTTAAATCTTGCATTCGGCTATGTACGTGACTACCTATTAAACTAACTAAAAACTAAAAATCGTCCTGAATTCCTGTTTTATGGTCCACGTATTTTCAGATGATTTGGAGTTTGTCACCCAAATTCATGAAGATGGCGTGGACATTAGCACACACAAAATGAAAATTGTCTTGAATTTTTGTTTTATGGCCTTAAAACACCAAAAAAAAATGAGGAACAATCATGAAAAATCAATGAGTATTAGGTCATTTCTGATGGACCCATAATATTTTAGGCGATTCGGAGCCTGTCGCATGAATTTATGAGACGAAAAATTGGATAACGTCCTAAATACCTATTTTGTGGTCCTAAAATGCCAAAAAATGAGAAACGGTCATGGTGAAATGATGAGTATTATTCATTAGGTTGTTTCGGATGGGCCTACAAAATTTTAGGTGATTCGGCGTCCGTTGCCTGTATTCATGAAGATGGCGTGGACATTAGCACAATAAAAATTAAAAATCGTCATGAGTTCTTGTTTTATGGCCCTAAAATGCCAAAAAAATGAGAAACGATCATGGCGATGAGATGACAATTGTTCATTAGGTCATTTTTGATTGGCCCAAAAAAACTTAGGCGATTCGGAGCTTGTCACCCGAATTCATGAAGATGGCCCTAAAACGTCAAAAAAGAGGAACAGTCATGGCGAAGCGATGACTATTATTTATTAGGACGTTTCTGATGGGCCCACAAAATTTTAGGCGATTCGGAGCCTGTCTCCCGAATTCATGAACATGGTGTGGACTTTAGCACATAAAATTGAAAATCGTCCAGTATTCCTGTTTTACGGCCTTAAAACGCGAAAAAATGAGGAACAATCTTCGTGAAGTGATGACTATTGTTCATTTGGTCAATTTTTAGAGGACCAAAAAAATTATAGGCGATTTGGAGCCCGTCGCACATATTCATGAACATGTTGTGGACATTAGCACAAGAAAAATTAAAAATTATCCTAAATTCCTGTTTGTGGCCCTAAAACGCGAAAATAAGGATCGGTCATGGCAAAGCATGACTATTATTCATTAGTTTGTTTCTGATGGGCCCACAAATTTTAGGCTATTTAGAGCCTGTCGCCCGAATTCCTATTATAAGACATCTTGAATTCCTGCTTTACGGCCCTAAAATGCAAAAAAAAAAAAAAAAAAATGAAGAACGATCATGGCAAAGCGATGACTATTGTTCATTAGTGATAACAGGCTATATTTATGTAGTTTAGCGACCATTTACGCCCCAACTTAGCTATACTTTATTGCTATATGAAGGTCTAATGACAACAAATGGCTTTAATTATGAATTTTGTGCTTTTCAGGATCAAGTCCTGACTATGAGGACATTAAACAGTTTTTGGAGTTAATTTGGAGCAAGGAAGACCAATTGGAGGTGAGTGCGCGCGAAAGAAGAAGAAAAAAATGGAAGACAACTGAGCTCCAGGAGCGCGGGCCAACCGCGGCCGCGCTCAGGCCGCGCACGAGAGGCAGAATAGAATGCATCATGCACGGTCTGACCGCGGTCCGAGCGCGGCCGCGCTTGGCACTCCGAGGAACTTTATTTCAGGGGTAAAATCGTTAGTTCGGGGGCAACTCTCCTTCACCTATAAGAAGCCCAGCTCGCCCAAAAAGGAAGGTATCAAGGTTTTTGAAGGATTATTGAAGGCAAGAAGAGGCAAGAGGCAAGGCGGAAGATTCGGCATAGAGTTTTACCTTTCTTCCTCTTGTTTTGATCACTAATGATGAATTCTACTGTTATGATTGTGAAAACGATTATGCGTAGCTAAACTCTTAATCTAGGGTTTTGATGGAAACTCTTGGAGGATGAATTTCTTGATATGTTAATATAGATTTGCCATAGTATTTTCTCTGTTTGTTCAACTATATTGTGATTGATGTTGATTGAAGGGCCCTCAATCGGCTGTGCCTATTTAGTATGCATTACTCGGGAGAGAGTGTATATTTAGGTAGTTGTTGAACAACACCATTCCTAACGTATATGAGGGATCAATACGAAAGGGTTTAAAGGTAGGATTAGGGATAACGAAACCTTGGGTGCGATCTAAGTGAGCTGTAACTAAGGCCAGCTAGCGTAATTCGGGAGAATATGTCTAGTATATTGTTGTAATTACTCGGGAGAGAGTTATGACAGTCAGAGTGCTCATGATCGATAGAGAAGACTTAGGCAAATTTATAGCGAACATAGCGGAAATGATTTCGACAAGAGGGGAAATCAGAACCTTAGACTTTTCTCATTCTTGCTTACAACCAGTTTATAGCTAGTTCTTAATTACTGCATTTTTATTACATTATATTTAGTTAATAAACACCCAATTTGTTACTCAAATATCTCTGAAGATTGAATACGTGAATTTCTGTGAGTCCAATAGCAGTGATTCGATAGGTTAATTCCCTGAGGGATTCGACTCAGGACTTGTTAACCGAAATATATTTGCAGCGACCGCTTTGTCCTCTTTACAAGGCATAGTTGGGCGTGATCAAATTTTGGCGTCGTTGCCGGTGAATTAACGATGTTATTGATTGCAGTTAAAAAGAAGTGCAAAAATTCTTAGTGTAGTCAATTTTCTTCAATTTAAACTGACCATTGAAATTCTAACGTTTGTAGTCGTGGTTGTTACAGGTGCATGCCTAGAAACTCCTCAAGAACTGGGGAATTGCTCGAAGCATTATCAGATCCTGAAAAAGTTTTCAAGGCATTGAATCGTGCGAACAGGAAAGACAAACAACAACATAACTCAACCGAAAACATTGAACCAGACATGGAAGACGATATCCAAACAACAGAGACAATGTGAATGACCCAAACGATCAGGGTGTGGCACCTCTTGTGCCAGAAGCAGCACTATATGACTGGGCACAACCCACCGCTGACAACTTAGCAACTGCTATTGTAGTTCCTCAGATACAAGCAGATTCATTCCAGATCACAAATAACATACTATATCTGTTGCAAAACAAGGGACTATTCTCTGGGTCATACGTTGAAGATCCTCAGCAGCATCTAAAGAATTTCCTGTCAATTTGTGCCACGCAGAGGCAACACAACGTGACACCGGAAGCAATACGTTTGTTGTTGTTTCCATTCTCAATGACAAGAGCAGCCCAGACTTGGCTTAACTCACTCCCCATCAACTCCATCACTACTTAGGAGGAATTAGTCAAGCAATATTTGAGCAAATTTCATCCACCCAACAAGACTGCTCAGCAAATTGATGAGATATTGAGCTTCAAACAGAAACCAACTGAGACGCTACACAAAACGTGGGAGAGATTCAAGGGTCTGCTGGTTACGTGTCCACATCATGGTATTCCGGAGCAGATGTTGGGGCAGAGATTTTACATGGGTTTGGCAGATAGTTTGAAAGCCAATGTTGATGCTTCAGCAGGTGGAGTATTTTTGAGCAAAACATTCATAGAGAGCAAGATCCTACTCGACAAAATGGCACAAAACTCAGGATGGACAACAAGAAATGCTCCAATCACTCCTGTGGTTCACTCAGTGGCTCTAGACCCGGCTAACTCCATAGCTGAAAATATGGCCACTCTAATGACACAAATGAGCATCCTCACCAAGAAGGTTGAAGAATCAGGGCAGAAGCAGCAGGTACACATAGTTGATGCAACCAATGGGGGTCTATGTATATCATGCATTAATCAACCATATTTTCTGCTCATGGAGTGCTGAAGGCGATAATCAACAATATCTGGAGAACATGAATTATGTGGCCAACTACGGGGGACCGAGCCAGGTGGTCAGAATTGGGGTCAGCAGAATCAACAATACAGACCAGCTCAGCAGCAGTACAATAACAACAATAATCATGGTGCTATGTAACCATAGGGGCAAATGGTTCCTTACCAAAGGCAACAAGGGTACAACCAGCAAAATCAGTAGCAGGCTTATCAACAACCTCCACAACAATAGATTGTGAGACATGAAGATGGGTTTGCTAAACTCGAGGGAATGATGCAACAAGTGATTGGGTCCACTGGAAAACTAGCCGACAAAGTAGACTCACATGAGTCAGCGATTAAGAATATTGATATTCAGTTAGGACAGATTTCCATGGCCCTAAATAATCATCCTCATTGGACGTTACCTGCAGACACCCAAATCAATCCAAAAGAGCAGGGCCCGAAGCAGCTGATGGTAGTGAGTCTCCGAAATGGTAGGGACTTAGATCTGGAGCAAGAAATTGCTCGCGAAAGCAGGCTGACTGAGACACTGGTGCCAGTACCCATTGAGATAGATGATTCAGCAGGTTTAACTGAGGTGATGGTACAGAATGCGCAAGAGAACACCAA